ATGTATTATCTGCCCCATCCTTGGATATTTGTAACTATGCACTGACTACCTACTTAGCCCAATTACTTCAGTCTTTTTTTTCCTAACATAGCCTCATTTATTTCTTCCTTGCTCCTTGTCCTACTATCTGAGAAACCGAATAATTCTTGTCCTTTATTTACTTTATAACCTGAAAGGTATTTATAGAACATGGCGTTGTGCTCCCTTAACCACACCGAGTTATTTTTGTTAGGTTATTAAAATCTCTCTCCTCAAAAAAAAATGTTTTATTCTCAGTCTGCATAATTCTATTGCTTCTGCTGAAGGTGCCCTTCCAAAATTTGGGGGGTTGAAAGCATATACAAAATTCCAACTATAGACGCACTAGGACAGCGGAGCCTCACCTTTTCATCCCATGGACCAGAAGAGCAGCGCCAGGTCTGTCTGTGCGCCAGATACAGTCCATGGGCCCAATCCAGTCATGAGACAACAGCCCAGCCCAGGCCCAATCCAACCACACAAGGCTGGGAAATTTGGCAGTGGGAGAGCAGTGGCAGTTTTAATTGCTGCCACTGCCCCATCGCCAAATTTCTGGACTCATGGGAATCCCCGTGGGCTGAATGACATGGCTTTGTGAGCTGTATTTGGCCCACAGGCCAGGAGTTTAGCACCCCTACAGTAGGAGAATAAAGAAAAGCACTATGCTAGTTATCTATGGACTACCGCACCCATGCCTTCAACTAGATAGTTTCTAGACAGACCCTTTACAAATGAAAAAGCAGCTATTTGTTTCTTCTCCCTGTAACAAGACTTAGCTTTCAGATGTACTTAATCTCTTTGCTTTTACTCTATTGATCTATCTAAACTCTTAAGGCTCCTTTGTCATTTGGATCCTTCCTCCTATTTTCTGCTGTGAAGTGGAATCATGAGAACTCATATCTGCAAGCTGAAAGTGGTCAAAAGAGTGCAAAACGGGAAGGGGCTACACAGTAGTCAACAGGAGTACAAAAGAGAAGGGAAACAGCACTTCCAGCCAGAAAACAACTGCTGGCCTCTTCTGGGACTGAACTTACATTCTTAGCTCTGCATGGCTGAGGGTGTACAGAGAGGAAGAATCTGAGACTATCCATTGAATATAGCATGTCTTGATCTGAGAGTATCACCAGGAATAATTTTATACAGAATTTAAGGTTTTTAAGACCTAGCTCAACAAAGCCCTGGCTGGAATGATCTAGTTGGGGCTGGTCCTGCTTTGAACAGGGGACTGGACTACATGACTTCCTGAGGCCCCTCCAACACTAATTTTCTGTGATTCTAGGATTTTTGAATATACTATAAAACACTGTAAGAAATCCCTCACCTTATTCACACTGACAAACATACCTGCCGACTTTGCTGATGGGCGGGGTTTTTTGTATCTCTGCGCCGAGCCCAGTGCATACCCAGAAGAGGTAGCACTTTACTTCAACCTGGCTCACCCAGTGTGGCTCATGGGTGCTGAACACCCACTATTTCTTTTCAGTGGGTGCTTGAGCCCCAGAGCACCTACAGAGTCAGTGCCTATGCTGATAAACAAGGAAGGGAGATTGCAAGCAGCTGGTAACCACCTCGCAAATGGGTAATGCTTGGAAGGCCACTGAGAATATGTAGGGGTCAAGACTTGCCAGAGATGACTTAGTTGTTCTCATGGGTCTCTTGCTTCTCTGAGAATTGACAACAGACAGGCCCCCAGATGTTCCACTCTACCAGCTGTTCCATCTACCATTCTGAGGTACCATCTTCCCATTATGGGAAGATACGGCCTTTAAAGCAGCTTCTTTGAAGAACTGGACAAATATCACTTTTTGCAGTGTTCTTCTACAGTCACTTCAATGTAAAGACATAGTTTTCTCATAGGATACATCTACACTAGCAAGATTAATGCCAGTAACAGCAAGTCCTAACAGGAATGTACCAATCTGGTCCTATGACTCTAATGGAAATTAAGTTCAGGTGAGGTGTTTTTTTCATCATCATGAAAAAAGAATTGGTCATAAAAACTGTTCCCATCTGTATCAGAATAAAGTCAAGAACTTTCAAGTCAAATACATAGATATGCCTTCATGCCAGAACAGGCAATTGTCTAACGGCTAAGACACTCACTTGGGATGTTGGAGACATGCGCTTAAGTTCTGCTTTGCCTGATTCAGATCAGGGATTTGGACCTTAGACTCCCACAACTCAGGTGAGGACTCTAGGATACTCTGGAGCACTGTTGAGTACCCATGGTTTCTGCCTCTCAAAGACCAGAAATTCCAAGAGCTCTTTTCAAGAGCAAATTGGATGCTTATCTTGCTGGGATCCTATAACCCCAGCTGACTCCCTGCCCTTTCGGCGGGGGACTGGACTCAATGATCTTCCAAGGTCCCTTCCAGCCCTAATGTCTATGAAATCTATGAAATCCATCATGGACCAGACACACAACTCCTTTTCAAATGGTATACAAAGACCCAGGAAAAGGAATTGTCATCTTCTGACAAAAATCTGTGTATCTGAAAAATTCCCAACCAACCCCAAATGAAAAACTGCTTTAAGCCATACCTGAGTTAGTGTTTCCACCACAGCTGGTAGTTGCTGACATATATGAGTAAAGTACTAATTTTGCAGGTATTGATAAGGCTTTAAAGCATCATCATCCTAAGTAGTTATTTGAAGTTATTTTTCATTAAAAGTAATGCAATTTGATTACCATCATTCTTCCACATTCTGTTCCCCTATGCAGCATGATGACCAGCTGTATTTTGCCAATATCTAAACTGCCCTATATTTAGCCAGTCCTCCCTATGGGCCAAAGAGCTCCACATGTTTTTAATAGCAGTCATTGTAACTTCTTGTTCTTCTTAGAACTTCTTGTTCTAAGTTTCTTCAAGGACTATTTTCACTAGCTCAGTATGACCAGAACACATTGCAAGCATAAATTACAAAATTAACATAGAAAAGTGCTTTAATAGTAATAAATTTATTAGCATGCTATAATAGTCATTTTTTACATTTATTTTTGCTATCAGATATTGGGGTTTTTTTTAATTTGGTAGAGTGTAGCATAATTGAATTGATTCATTGGATACATGCTTATCTAGTTAAATGATTTACTGCATTTCTGATTTTTAGCATTATTGGTTAGTATTACTGTTGTTTCTCTGAATATGTACCATGTCAAAGGACAGATAATGACTTAATTGGTTCTTTGTTCTATCGGTCAACTGTAGAATTGTTTATTATATTATATTTTCTATTCATGGTCAATCAATAATCATCTATCTATAGTCCTGCTCCTCTTCTCTGCCTCCCTTCCTTCCTCTCCTCCTCCCTTCACACCTCCCTGCTTCCTCACTGTATAGATCCTAGCATCTCCTCTCTTCTTCCCCTCTCCTCCTCCTCTCTCTTACTCCTTCTCCTCTTCACAAATTCATACATCTGCCAGCCACTCCCTCACACTTCTTTGTGTCTCCAGTGATATGTATCCCACTCCTGTTTCCCACTTCCCACACAATTTAGTGTTACCACCTCTGCCCTTCTCGAATATCTCCCCCAAATTGCACTTTCCTCCACCTGCATCTTCTCCAAGATTACGGTCATCCCTATCCCCTCCACCTCCCTGCTCTCACAGGGTGATGTCAGAAGAGGGAATACAGATATCTGAATCTCCCTCTGAAATCACTTTCACTGGACCTCTCTCCCATGTGGGCTTCTCATTTCCACATGATCCTCTGCCAGTCATCCCCAAAGAAACATGTGGTATGGGCACTAGGGTTCTGCTCTCCTGTTCTAACTGCTTTCCAGCCCTCCTCTCATCTCCATCAGACAATATTCCATCCAACTCCATTCATGTCTCCCCTCCATGTGGATGTCACCTACTGCCTAACTACTCTCCACTACTTTTCTCAGTGACTCCTTTTCCCAGTGATTCCTTCTATGACCCACCTTACATTGTATTCAGCTCCTTTCTTTGTTTCTTTGCAAGGCCTGTCTCACACAAATCCAAAGTTCAGACTGATCACTTGCATAACCCTCCTCATGCTTCTGAAAGAAGGTAAGTATCCATACAGCCTTGCACCAGCATAGATGCATTTTTCCTCCTTCAGGCCTCATTCATATAACACTACTCCTCCATTCTGACTCTATACCAGAAATCCAGGTTTTTGCTCTTTCCTCTAGCCATCCCTTACTCCTAGCCATCTCTCTTTTTCCCTCCCCACAAACAATCTTGGTAAGTCTTCAGAAAATGCGATCATCAAGCTTCTTTTCTTCCTCTTTCAGGCCTTTCACAATATAGCCTCCCCTCGCCTATATAGTCTCATCTCTTATTTTGCCACTTCAAGTTTATATACCCAAGCTTTCTGTCCTACTCCATATCCTTCCTCAAGGTACATGTCTGCAACAAGGCCTACAGTAAATCACCAGTATACACTGTGGAAATTAAGAGCTATGATCAAGTTTGCAATCAGTTAACACTTGGTGAAGGGGGATGGAAGGAGTGAAAGTCAAACTCTAATAAGCTATTCCAGTGGGGGAATAGCTTATTAGCCCACTTTTTGGCAGGCATGCCACAAATTAGCCCCACGCCCTCCCTGAGTACCACTCCAATTTCTTTCCCCTCACTGATCTGTGCTCTGCTTTCTACACCCTCCCCTTTGCTCCTTGACCTATCAGCCTGTGTGCTATATGGTCCTCCCAGACCTATATGCCATGCACAGAAGCTGCCTGTGCCACTTGTGGCATGTGTGGCATAGGTTGACCATTTCTGGGTTACATCATGCTCTTTCCTTGTTTGTTACTTTGACCTGTTGAACCATTTCTTAAAATATACAGTAAGATATAAAAGACAGAGATGACCTGTTTGCACTTGTATGTGTCACTACAGTACCTAACACAAGGGGGTCCAGATATGATTAAAGCTTCTGGGAATAGCAGTAGTAATAATACTTGGTGCAATGTAGAGCAGAGAGACTAAGGTTTTTATAAAACAATAAAGAACTTACCGAGCCATACAATTCCCCTTTCTCATTCATTCCAAGGTAGAGTCCACTGTCAACCCCTCGAATGCTGACCAGGCCCACTGCTATACTGATAAATTCCAGTATACCTAGAAAATTCAGAACAAAAAAGGTACAGATTGTTTCCATTTAATTACTTTTGCTGTTGGTGTATCACTAACAAAGAAGGCGATATTATCAAATTCTGCTTTAGGACTACGTCGCAGAGAAGTTAAAGAACTACTGACTAAATTTGTTTTTAAAAAAGAAAGGTACTTGAAACAGTTAAGTCTCTTAAGTCTGCTACAGTGATGCATTGCAGATAGCACAAGGGTGTCAAGCCAAGAGATTATTCTCAACTTTTCCCAGAATTTTTTAAACAAAAAACTCTGCAGCATGTTCTTATTACACAACATTTATTGGTATCCTGATTTGCACCACAAACAACCAATTCAAAAGAAAAATGTCAAGTATTTAGAAAGATAGTTTAATAATGTCAGTTGTGGCTATAAAATGTGTTTTGCCAAATAAATCCCTAAAACGTTTTAATCGAAACTGCAAAAGGAAAATAAACTGTTATGCATTTGCTATGAAAAGCATTTACTTCCAAGCATCACAGAATGAGGAATACATTGAAAGAGATCTACTCACAGTGTGATCCTCCAAAGGCTTGAGAAATGAAAATCTGTGGTGCAGTCCAGAGCCTCACAGACATTTGTCTACAAATTAATCATCTAACTCTTGTGAATATATTATTAACTCATCCCAACTTTGAAAATTAAAATACTCCCCAACCTAAATAATAGTGCGTAAATGGTTAATTATTCATGTACATTTTACAGTAACCTCATAAAGAGGGAACTGTGCACCACAGATAAGAACATTCTGCAAAGAAACATTGCTTCCATAAAACCCCCTATGTTCAGCACAAACGCACGTTGGTACAGCAAGTATCTGCATCAGATACCAAGCCACTAGCTCCATGCCCCCTCCTCTTCCTTTCCATCAAATTGCTTACCTCATCCCTAAGGATGCTAGCATGGAGGCTTGCATAAATCTAGAATTCTAGTGGAACAAAATGGAAATAGTTTTCTATTTTGGAATGTCGATGCAAGGTTATTATGATCTCAAAATAGCTATACTGCAACATTCATACAGAAGCATATTGCTGCAGTAAGCAACTTTCTGAGCCATATAATAAAATGTAGAGCAGCATTTTCAGTATATTTGTAGAATGTACACGTCCAGGCATCAACATAACTATTTTTAAAAGCTATTAGAAATTATCTTTACATGAAAGTGTAAAGTAACAGAGTAATATTGCAGCATTGAGTCTCACGTGGCTAATAAAAAAGCACATTCATGGATTTTTGAACAATTAATTTTGTGTCTCACAAAACACGTTGTGCGCTAATCAATAACAAGCATGAGTCACGTAAATCTAAGAAAGTATAGGTTGAAGCCTATGGGAAAACTTTATAGCCATGATAATGTAAAGATGAAACATATTCCTTATAAGGAACAATTGATCATTATTTTATATATTATTCAGCATAACAAAATGTAACCCTGACTTAAGACCTGGGAGTCTTAAACAGATTTGTAGCTATGTGCATGGAAAGAGGCCTCACAAATGTTGTGGGAAAATATCTAGTAATTATGGAATTATGTTTCTGAAGTAATAAAAAGTGGTACTATACTATATATAATATTTATAGTAGCATCTCCTATACGATCAGTCCATTGAAACTATTTAAATATTCCCCTTATTTCTGGATATGTTCAAATCCTGTTAATAAAGCTTTGTCTGTAAAGCTTTCACTGTGTATCATATTACTCAATAATATACATTACCAAGCAATTTTAACTGAGGCCAATCTTATATTAGGTGTATATTATTCCACATTGTAGCTAAGTTTGTAAGCCTGGCATCTTTCACATCAGTATGAAAGTAGAGTGTGACCTTAATTGCTACTCTAATTTCACATATTTGGGTGTACACTGCTGACTGGCATAAAAAATCAGTCATGTGCTACTGCAAATGCAGCAGGAGACTTTTTAAGGTCCTTAGTAATGAGCACCTACATATTTGAGATTTAGATAGCTTCTCTAAACTATTCACAGCTCATTCACAACACGTTTTATATGCAAAATTGCAACGTAATTGAAGAGATTATTTTGGGGCTTCTCTTTCTGTCCTTACTCAACCAAAACTTAATTGGGAGTTTTGCCAGTTTGAGGATTGCATGATTTGGCCCAATGCCCTTGTGAATATTTTCACTTTATAGTTTATATAATGTGCACACAGTACTTAAGAGCTGAAGCAGATATTTAAAAAGATAGTCTCCCTTAAGAGTTAGACTGATCCCAGATCAGAAGAGTCTGAATTTGACAGATTGGACCCCATTTCCAGTCAGAAATTCTGGAAGTCTCCGAAATGAAGAAATACATTTCTAAAAACATTTGATCTTGAATCCCCTCTTCTCAGCCATTAAGCATTGAGTTAAACGAGCCCATTTTAAGGCAGGAAGTTAACTTCCACGTGAGGAAGCCAGGAAGAAACTTCTCTTTGTGGGAAGGTTATTCCAGAAATGTCCACAATCAGCATTTTTGCACCTTCTCTTAAAGGTTCCCAAGTCTCCTGCTGGAGACAAAATACCAGTGTGATCACTTCCGGCAATCCCCATGTCCCTAACAACATCCAGATCTTCTATGACATGGTACTGGACATCTTTTATGAAAACAAACTGGACTTTGATCTAGCCAATGCATCATATAAAATACCCAAGAATGGAACCTGAGAATACGTTTCTCTTGAAAAACTTTGCAGCTGGGGATTGCATTTGCTCCATACTTGGGACATTTGTGCAATTTGCTAGGCACAATGCTTTCCTCTTTGGCTTGCAGTTACCACCCTAAAATGCCACAAACAAGTAACTAATACAGGAGCTAAGCCTCACTGCCAGCAGCTTATTTGTGAAATTTCCTGAGAGGATGTAATGAGGTGCCCAGCACAGAGGAGGGAAGCCACAGAGGACTTGGAGACAGAGAGCAAGGTAAATAGCACTGTGTTGCAATATATTTAGCAAGCAATGACATTGCCTCAGAAAGACAGAGAGAGCGGGGAGCAGAAAGAGAGGCTCCTGGCTAGGATGTTCTGACAGATCAGGCTCCTGGAGCAGACTCCAAGGGGCGCAGGGAAGCAGAGGCCAGGCGGGATTTCCCCAGGCTTTCCCGCTCCCGCGGCTCCGTCCCCCGACACCTACTGCCTGCTTTTAGAAGGCTCCGCGTTTGCACTCAGCTGGAGCGAGCCTGGCAGCTGGGGTGCGCTCCCTGCTAGTCACAGCTGCCACCTCGCCGCCTCCTCCGCCACATTATGCCAATTAAGAGCCCCCAGAGCAGAGCCGACAGCTCCAGGAGGCGGGGCGGGAGGAAGCTGCTTTAGTGTTAGGCTTTCACCGAGCTGCCTGCGCCCCCCCGTGCGGCTGGCAGGCCGAGCTCCCCAGGGCTGCAGGCAGCATCCCCTGCCTGAGGGCGCGGGGAGTCCGGCCTGGGGGCAGGAACAGGCCGAGAAGCCGCGGCTGAGGCAGGAACCAGCCGCCGCCGCGCTCCCGTTCCCGGAGCTATTGTGTGCCCCGGCGCTGCCCGCAGAGATGCTCCCGCGCCCGGGCGCGCGGGCAGGCTCCGGCCCCGCGCACGAGCGCCGACTTAATGGGGCTGCATCAGTCCCGGGTGAGTTGCGGAGGCAGGAGGGGGCGGAGCAGCTCCCGCCTCTCCGCGATGCTGCTACAGATGCTGAGCGCTGCGCTTCCTGGTGACAGCAGGTCCCGGGAGCGGAGGTCACCTCGGCAGCTTTTTTTTTTTTTTTTTTCCCTGCATGCTCCTGATTTTTTTTTTCCTGCTGTGCATGCAGCCCTGGTGCTGACGCACGGCGCCCCCCCGCCGGATTCACAATGACTCCGCTGTCTGCCCAATGCCCTCGACTAAAGGAGACTGCATCAAAAAAAAACCCTTTGTCACCCGGGGGATCGCGGGAGCCGCCTCTGCCACCGCCCACAGATTTTGGGAGGAGGGTGCTGCAAAAATGCCGAGAGCCAGTCGCCCTTGGCTGGGGCAGCTCCCAGCACCCCGGCAAGCGCCCGAGGTGTCGCTGCACGGCCCCAGCGCCCCCTGCCCGGCTAGGGCCGAGGGAGGTGCTGGCAGTGCCACCGACTGGGGGGCACAGCCCCAGGCCATGTGCACTGAGAAGGGCCCCGGCAAAAGCAGCGCCAGGGCTGCCCCCTCCGGCCCGGGCACAGCGCA